CGCAGCCAACTCCTGTACCCGAAAACCACAGGACCAGGGCCCAAGGCCCTGGCCACACGTGCCCTACCCTGGGATGCCCTCCAGAGGTGAAGTGGCCCCGACATATTCCCGCCCTCCCGCCCAGGGAGTCTCTCCCTCCCTCTTGCACAGGGAACCCTAGCAAGAACCCGACATCCCACCACGTGGGGTAGGGGGAGAGGCGCTGATGCATCTCCTTCTTCCTCTCATGTCCAGAGTCAATGTGGGGGAACTGGCTGAGGACACTGCCCAGTACTCCACGGCCCAGGGATAGAACAGGACCCCAGGCAGAGGCTGCCCTCACCTGTGTGAAGTGATTGATGCCATCCTGGTCACTGAGGCCTCTCTTGAGATCCTCACAGGTGTCGGGGAGCATGGCCACCACCTCCTCGGCAGTGTGGCAAGAGAGCTCATAGGGCGGTGGGGGCTCAGGCAGGCAGTTCAACCCGGCCAGTGGCCCAGCCTCCTTTGGGCTCCGAGAGGCACGATCCAGGGAGCCCCCAAGGTGGTTAATGTGGCCCAGGGAGGAGCTGAAGGGGCCAGGCCCCATGCCAGGACTGCGGCTAAAGCTGCCCCCACTGGAGGAGTCAGACAGGAGGGGCTCGGGTTCGGGGCCGCCCTCGTCCAGGCTGAGGGCGTGCAGCAGCTGGGCACGGGCCTGTGCCTGGCTGGCCCGGGGCCCTGGGCTCAGCGGTGGGTGGCAGGCCAGAGTGTGCAGACTGCCGTTGCTGCGCCACAGCTTCTGGCCCTTGTGGGCCGCCAGGCTCTGCATGGACAGGAAGCCTTTCCCGGTGCCTGCCACAGGCTTGAACACCGATGGGCGAATACGGCACTGCCAGGAAGAGAGGGCAGGGTAAGGCCCTGAGCTAACAGCACTGCCCCATGATGCTCCCACAGCCCTGGGGGTCCTTTCAGACACGGGCTGCCTGCCACTGGGAAGCAATGACCAGGCTAGTCCATAGCAGGACTTTCAGGTCCAAGCCCTGCCCCAGCGCTGAGGTCTCCCAAGAGGCCCCAAGCTCCCATCCCACCCTCCCACCCCAGGGAGGGGTTTGGGCAGAGGTGCACCTTGTCAAAACGTCCCCGCTCGGGCAGCGAGGTCTTGCTGAAGTCACCGGCCCGGGGATGTTCCTGGTAGTAGAGGGTGGCATAGTCAGCAGGCTCGTTCCGAGCAGCCCGCTTCGTGGTCTTGCCGTCTTTCTTAGGGAGGTGCAAGTAGCTGAGGAGCTCACGTTGGCCCAAGCCCTTCCGGAGGAGCCCATCAGGCTGGCGGGAGCCTCGGGACCCCTCAAGTGCTGCCCGTAGCTCTTCAGGGGAGAAGTCCTGCCGTTCCAACAGGCTGCCCACGCTGCCCATGGCAATGCCAGCAGGGCCTGGGGCTGTGTCCATGAAGTTTCAACACGGCACAGGCAGCTGCTTCTAGAGATCAAGAGGCTCCATCAGGGGCAGGTGGGTGCTTGCTGCCCACCCGCCCTTGATGCCCTAAAACCAGGTGCTTGTTCTGTGTCAGCTCCCCATCTGGTCCAGCCCAGGAGAGGCAGATATGGATATGGAGAGAACGCAGCACAGAATTCCTAGGCTGGCAAGAAGAAGGGGCATAGGCCCTAAAGCCACCTGCCCAGTACCCCAGCATCAGCTAGAAGCTGGTGTGTGATTGGGGGTGGGGAGGTATGGATGAGGGGAGGCACTGAAACAGCAGGATAGGACCCTCCCCAGGACTGGGCTAGCTGAGGACTCAGGCCCTGTCTGACTCTGACCTTGTTCACTCTCCTGCTAGACTCCCCAAATTCTGAAAGTAGGCAGAGGGCACAGCCGCCTCAGATACTCCATTCCTTCTTCTTTTCTTGGGAGAGGGGAAACCCAGGTCAGCCCTCTTCCTGCAGGGAGTGAGTTCCCCAAGGGAAGCACCTGGCATGGGCGGGGCTGCACCAGGCAGTGGGAGGGATACAAACAGGAAGGGCCCGAGGGGAGGAAGGATGGAGGGAACAATGGCCACAGTTTCCGGAACAGGTGTTCACCTTGTGCCATGGTGAGAGGCAAGGGAAGGGGCAGCTGGAGCCCCTGCCAGCCCTTTCATATGCCCCAGAGAGCCCACCACCAGGTGTGAGGATGGGGGCAGGGGTGTCTCTAAATCTTGACCCTGCATTGAGCCAGTCACCGTGGGGGGCCTGGCTTCCTCATGCGTACAATGGCCATGACAACTCATCACTCAGGGATGCCTAGAGAATGGGCTAAGATAATAGAACAAAGCGCCCAGTGAGCAGCCAGGGTCAACACAGGCTGACCAGAGCAGAGCTGAGCTGGTGAGACACATGAACACTTCTGGTGGGAGACCCAGTGACTAGGCTCCTGTGCTGGGACCACACAGTGGAGGTGGGACCTGTCCCTAGTGCCCGGCTGGATCCCCTGTGCTAGGCCCAGTGCTCAGCATGCCGGATGAACCAGTGCCACCTTTTCTGCCTCCCCCCCAGCTGCTCCCATTCCCAGTCAGACCCCAGCAGGCACGCTGCAGCTGTGAGTCCCCCAGAACCTCCCCAGTATGCTGCCGGGACACCCACTCCCATCCTAAACAATGGTGGTTAGGAGGTTCCATCTTCCTCCGCCATTTCCAGGTTTTGTGTTTGTGGGAGACAAAGCTCTCTAGGAGTAAAAGGGAAGGAGGGTTCAGCCCTGCCCCCTCACCATGTGGCCCTCCACCTCACCCTGGGCAAAAGTACCCTTCCCAACCCTTCCCTCCCAGGCCCCAGTTCCCTCAACACCTCCGGGGGTGTCATAGGCCACAAAGGGTCCGGGGATTCATGGCCCAAAGAGGTGGAATGGAAGCATCGATCTCCCAATCTGACATCCTTCACCAGGACGAACCCACCCGGCCACAGGTACCACTGTGTCTGAGAGGGCCCTGAACTCCTGTCAGGGAGGTGGGACAGCAGACAAGCTGGTCTCCTGCCCTGCTCTCACACTGTTTCTCCACGGGGCACCTCTCTTCACCATGCCTCAGTCTCCCCATCTCTGAAGGGGAGAAAGACCCTGCCTGCCCTGCCTTCCTTATGGGATGACTGTGACAGCCACAGAGACAACAGAGGCAAAAGGTCTTGTGAACTGTAAACACAGTGCAACAAGGGGAGGGCGGGGAGATGACGACGGACGATGGTGACAGTGATGCCAAATAAGCTCACTTCATCTCAAATACACACCATCTCACCTTCCCTTTGGCAGATCCTCACTTCCTGTCTCAAGGAGCAATAACTGACATCCCCTGAGCCCCACAAAGAGTCTCAGGTCTAGAGAGGCAGACATGGCCATAACAGCATATATGCCAGCCACTCATCTACTGCAGTCCAGTCAGTGCCACCAGCAGCACAGAGGCTCCTGTATTAGAGGACACAGCGAGGAGAGTCCAACAGCAGACAGTCACGCTCAAGGTCACCCACACGGCATTTGAACTACTCTCTCTGGGACACATATACATAATAATACAGGAATTCCTCCGCAGGAGAGACCATCTAGTTCCCTGCCCAGAGACTAGAGGGGGGGGGGGGGGGGGGGCGCGCGTGTGTGAAGGTGGTGAGGGAGGCATGAGGCCAGCTTCCCTCCACAAGTGACTTGAGCGATTAGAAACAGCTATGGAGCTGGAGGAAGAGCCCCTTTCCTTTGTCTTTTTTTAAGGCCCCCACCCACCACCCCTCTTAAGTAACGTCTCTGGCTGTATTACCAGCTAGTACCTTTCCCTAGAACGGTCCCTCCACCTCCCCTGCCTACCCCCAACACACACACCTTCCTGTTGCTTGGAAGCCCAGGGACTGGCCTGATCAGAACAGGACAGCTGTGGGCTGGAGAGGATTTGGTGAGGAAGTGGGGGAGAGACAGCAACTGGGGAGGGATCTGAGCCCAAAGCCAGATGCCTCTAAATGCCTGGGCTTGCTGGCTCTCGGGCCCAGAGATCTGCCCAGAGCTGAAAGCTCCCCATAACCCTACAGGCTAGGTTTGGGCCAGGCCTTCTGCACAGGCCCCAGGTAGCCCCAACAGGGCCTTTACTCCTGCTCCCATCCCCTGGCCCCAAGATTAGCCAGCAGACTGGAAGTCCTGAACACAGAGGGATATCTCTTTTGGACCACCCTTGGTGGAGCCAGGAGAATGGGCCTGGGGGACCACCTGGCGATGGAGCAGAGACAGAACATCAAGGAGGCATCCTGGCATCATTTAGCAGGTGCCTTGGTGGGTCAGCCTGACACAGGGCCTACCATAGGCTCACAACACGCACAGGAGGGGAATAGTGTCAACCCCCCTTCAGAGGAGAAAACTGAGGCCCAGCAGTTGAAATAACGTGCCTACGGTCATGCTCAGCTGCACAGGAGGAAGTAAGTGACAGGCTCCCCACCATGCATCTCCTCTGGGTGGGACATTCCAGAGCCAAGTGGGCAGGAAGCTCCACTCCTAACTGCTGCATCAGCCCCTCCTGAGCCCTGACAGCCCATCAGGGGGAGTGTGGAGGGGGGTGTCCCACCACCTGCTGGGGAATCAGTTTTGCTGAGGGGTGTGTCTGCAGCTGCCCCTGAGGAATGGGACTGGAATGTCCCTGTTCCAAAAGAGGGGGCAGTGGATGCGGAGGGGCCAGGAAGGGGGCATACCCTGGACACCCTGCAACACTTGAAGAGGCAGAGCCGTGTCCAACCCCTGCAGGAGTGATGCTTTGTCTCACTATAGAGTCACTTACAGTTGCACGGGACTCTACAGTTTTCTTCAGCCCTTTCATTCCATCATCTCATCTCCATGAGGACAGGTAGAGTAGCAGTTACTGTCACTCCATTTTACAGACAGGGAAACTGAGGCCCAGAAAGAGGAAGCAAGTTGCCCAAGAACCCACAGCGATAGCCATCCCAACTCCCTGGGCAAGGTCCTCAGCACTGCATCAGGCTATCCCAGCCAGGGGTCCCCACTGGCCCCCATGGGCACTCAGTGCTGGGTATGTATGTCTGCCCAGCCCCCACAGCTGCTTCTCCCAAGGGCCTGTGCAACCATGCTGGGTTGGATTCCAGTCCCCTTAGCCTGGAATCCCTCAGGCCTGCCCCTGGATCGGGAAGAAACAGTGGCAGCACTGCTGCTTGGGGACTTTTAGCCCTGGAAGCTGCTGGCTCTAGGGGCGGTAGTGGGAGCAGGCTGGTCGAATTCATTCACAGTCTGGCACATACACACCCACACACAGCCAGCCAGCACAAGAGCCCTGCCCAGGAGGGCTCTGGGAGGAGGCTCATCACCTAGTCCAGGATGGTGATCTCTCTGCTTCTGCCTCCTCCCCAGGCCAAGCAGGGAGAAGGCATGGTGGCCAAGGCAGAGGGACAGCCAGGCTCAGCCCGATGCGAAGGAGGAGAACCCCAATCTGTTCTTGGGGGAGAGTGGTGCCCCGTGAAAGACAGGGGTCCCAGTTCTATTTCTGTACAAAGCCAGAGCCCCGATTTCGGCTGGTCTTAGACCAGCCCTCACTTTGGCCAAAGGTTGTGTGGTTTATCTGGCCGCCAAGACGTGGGAGCACCCCTGGTTGGGGGCTCAGGAGAAAGGCTGGCAGCTTCCGCCTGTACAGGGCAGGGGGGTTGAAGGACGAAGCGGGTATTGCGGAGGGGGCGGGAGAGGGGTCTCCTGGGGAAGGAGAGGCAAACGAGGTAGGCATCCTTTCGGAATTTGCCCCAGGAAAGCTCTGGCAGAGGCGGGCTAGGGCTCCCCAGAACTGCGGGGGGTCATTTAACTACCTGGGGGACGGGAGGGGCAGTCTCTTCCTGGCGCCTTCCTGGGGCCCGCCCGGAGCGGTGGGGCTGGGAGACAGAGGCC